TGCCCTGCCCATGGCAGGGGGGTTGGAACTGGATGGGCTTTAAGGTCCCTTCCAACCCAAACCATTCTGTGATTCTATGAAAGGAGGGAGGGCAGGGCAGAAAATGGGAAATCTCAATGTTACTCCCATAAAAGCCAGGAAATCTTAAATGCCAGTTTCCTCCTGCTGTCTGCTGTGCAGATGGAGGACACGTGACAGCTCTGCACCTGGAACATCTCAGTTAAGATGCTGGTAGAGCAGCGACTCCCCATTCCCTCCCTTGTCAGATCTGGCACTGCCATATTTCAGCAAGCAGCAGGTCAGGATATTCCCCCTGCTTCCTTCCCAGTGCTCTCCGAGGCTTAGGGACTCGCTCCGGAGCAGTGTGGCTCACCCGTGCCGCTTGCTGCAGTCCCAGCAGCTTCCCGGCGCTCAGCTGAGACCTATGCGTTACAAGGGTCGTGACTAAGGAGCCTGAGTGCCAGCCCCGTGAGGGAACAGCCCCTTTCAGATACAGACAGAACCGCTGCGGATGCGGCTGGCAAGGTGCTCGCTACTATTTAGGTACTGCTCTGCAGCATCTGTTACTGGTTCTTAAAAGCAGAACAGACACCCGGTTGCCTCCCTCTGCAGAGGAAGTCATTACTGAGAAGCTGATCATTGCAGCAGCAGAGATTTCTGGAAGGAATGATTCCAGTCTGGCAAGCGGACAAACTGCCCGCAATTGCAGATGTCAACTGCTTGTGTTTGGTGGGTGGATTTAACTTCGTGGGCTTCGCTTGGAACACAGAAGATTAATCCACTCAGGTATCAATAGGAGTCAGGAGGCCTTGAGGTCAGGAAGCAATCTGTACCCCCAAAATCATGCTTTCAGATAATGTGCTTATTTTGCCTTTCTAATGCATCACTGTTTGCTGTCGCTGAGGGGGGGGGGCCCCATGTCTGCAGGGCCACTGTGTCACCACTCCTTTCTCAGAAAGCTCCATCCAGCCTGGCCCAAGGATGGAGTCCCTCCCTGAGGCAGTCCTGATCAGAATCCTGGCTTCCATACCTGCGGTGGATTTGGTGCTGGCGTGCCGCTTGGTCTGCTGCCAGTGGAAGAACCTGGTGGATGGAGCCGC